TTGAATAGTGCAGTGCTGAGTGGAGATGGCCAAGCGAGCCTCCTGCCTTGCTCAGTTTTGGGGGGCTGCTCTGGAAGAGTGGACTTTGGTTTCAACACCATGAATTAACAGAGAAACAGTAAATTATCATAACTTGTAAGGTCTTTCAATAACTCTGATTTCACTAGTTGAGAAATTTTGGAAATTTGTGGCCTGTCAAGGGAACCTGAGTGGTGCCTACCCACAGTAACCATACCTTGTCCTCTAGTGCAGAGCTGTGGAAATTTTTGTAAATAACAGAGGGCACCTGTTTTCATGCCGACTGACTCAGTGTGTGAATAAATCTCTGCTTCCTATCTGTGCACTTGCCTGTTTAGTCAAGAATAATTGTAGAACATGCTGACCCCTGGGAGATTCCCATCTCCCCAGGGGCACCTGAGGCTGGGGGGCCACCCTCAGCTTCAGCCTACAGGAGCCCTGGCATCAGAGGGAAACGGAATCTGAAGCATTCCTTGCCATCGTGGTACAATTTATTTTCCTTTTCCTTCCCGTGGTTCTTAGCCTTGCCCTTCATCTCCCAGAGAGAGGCAATAGGACAAGAATAAATTTGTAAGCCAGGCTGAAAACTGGGTGAGCATAAAGAGCTAGAGTCTTGGAGCTCACAGGGATGCTCAGGATGGCAGTCACATATGGAAAAATTTGAGCCCTGGAGACTGCATCTAACTCCTTACTTTGCTCTGCACAGGCCGTGGGATGTGGAAGTTCCTTTAACTTCTCTGTGCTTCCCAACTAATGTGATAATCACAGAACCTATCTTACCAGGCTGAGAATGCAATGAGTTACTCTATGTAGAGAGCTCAGATCAGTCAGTGACAGGCTTAGTGAGGGCTTAGTAAGTGTATCCTGTCATTATATCTACTAGCTGTTGAAATGCTGAAATAAAATAATTTCTCCATGCCTTGGTAAGCCCTGTCTACCCTACAGCATTGTCCTGATGGCCAAATGAAAGTTACTTGATGTCCCCCCATCACAACCCAGTCCCCCCATAGAACTCCCCAGGGGAAAATGGCTCCCAAAACTATATGCTCAGAATTCCTCCTGACAACCGATCCAGGTTTCAGGTATTCAGGCAGGGGGCCACTAGCGCCTCTGTAAAGGCCCAGCTCTGAGCCCCTGAGGACACCTCATGGGCACCCTTGCCATCCTGCCTGAGCCCCTTTGGGCTTCATTCCAGGCATCCTGGGGTGCATCACAGGCTACGGTTCCACTGTGGGGCCATGGTCTTCACGTTCTTCATTGTTGTCTGTTGTCCTAGGTTGTCTTTTGGGATCCGTTTCTTGGGTTTTACAGAGGAAGTTCCTTTGGGGAGTATGGGGGGTCAGGAGCGGCCAGGGGGAGGCTATTTTTTATGCAACGTGGGCATTAGCGGCATTCCCTGGGGACAGTGTTTTGAAGTCTCTGTCCCTACTCTCTAGCCTCTTCACCCCAGTGGT